TGCATTTGTGATGGGCACCTCAATACTTGTGCCTTCTCAGTAGCTAAGAATTCAGGTATCATTTCATTTTCAAATTAGAAGAGACTCTTTTGGGTCAGCATTCTTTTTTTCCTTTCCTTATGTCTCTGCAAACAGCCTTATCTTTGTATTCAGACAAAGTAAGAATCTCTCATTTATCTGTTGGTTTGGGGACCACATATGGTGGTGCTCAAGGCTTACTCCTGGCCCTGCACTCAGTGATTACTCCTGTTGGGATCACTGGACCGTGTGGATGCCGGGGATTAAATTCAAGTTGACTGCATGCAGGGAAGGTGCTCTACATGCTGTATTATCTTTCCAGATCCATCCCCCTAAATCTATCCTTTATTAAGAAGGATCTGGAAATTAGTTTTTTCTGAGAAAGGTGATCAGGTATGTAATAATTCTTATAACTTCTACCCCAAATACTGCTTATAGTTGTCAAAATTTGACTTACACTTGTGAAAAGAGTTTTAATACTATGGAGAATATTGAAGGAAATTAGGAGGCATCTCCATACCAAGGACAAATAGGATTTGTAAGAACTGAGCTATAAAACAGGCCTGGCAAGATGAGAAACAATATCCGCTAAATCCTGAAATAAGCAGCATTTTGAAGTTCATTCATGTCAACTAGAACGATGATGATAAAGCATAAACAGTACATCTGGTAAAGAAGAGAAATGAGAATTAGATCCTAAAGAGAATTTGAAGTATCAGAACATAAGCTTGGGGAACCAGAGAACAGAACAGTGTCTGTGTGGCACTACCAAGCACAAGAGACCAGGCAAGGAGAGGCTTTCTTTGTCAGGAAGTCATTCTTTGACTTCCGGGAGAGAGAAGTAAGAATGAGTCAATATAACAAAACGTACTTCAATATGCTCCTTCCTTCCTCTGTACCACGATTTCATGTTCCCATACTGCAAATCACTATAAAACTTCTGCATGAAATAGTTATGAGAAAATACTTATAACCACAGGGTGCTATGTGCTTGGTCACCAGTAGATCTTCGCTTTGTTGTGAAGTGTTGATCTTTACAGGATTCCCCTATGGACTTGTCATCCAGTGAGGGACAGCCCAACCCCTTGGGAGCATCTGCAAATGGCAATCTCCTGAGCTCCATCTAGGATCAATTTGAAAATAAATTCTCCATGGGAGTATGGTGCTACCAACAGATTAACCTGTGGGGCAAGTGCATCAGCAGCCTGATGGTGCCTTCTGACTTCCAGATACCCCAAAATTGCTGCTGTGCCTTTGGCCAGACCCCAACAACTTGGGTCCAAGTTTACCAAGAAATTAAATGGCCAAAAGTTAGGTATGTGATATACACATCCACAAACCACCTCCAGCTCAGCTCTATAAAATCATTTATTGGCCTTTTTTCAGAGACCCATAAATCTCGAAAGAGATCAAAAGATGCAGTTAGGGCCTATAGCACAGAGGTAGGCGGGAACCTGCGGCTGAGAGCTCTAGGCCCGCTTGGATTGGGACTGGGCCTCCTCCCCCCAGGCCCCCAGTTTTCTAGTAGCTTGGTAGTCACACTCACAAACTGCCCCCAGTGCCATGTAATCTCATCAACGGCTAAGACCCAGGAACTATAAGTCAAAACTCCCAAAAGAGAGTGCCGCAGAACCTCCTGACTCTGCACCAGGCTGTCTTCACTGGGGCGCCCAAGAGGGGGACAGGTGAGAAGGGACCCAGATGTGGCAGTCAAAAACCTCTACAACCCAACCACCACCACACTCAAGGCTGTTCCACATGTGCTCAGGATGAGACTCATGCATGAGTCCTAGGGAACCCAGTAATGCAGAACTTTGTGACCTTGGACTCTGGACTCAACGGGACCCAGAAGCAGAGATCCTCTGCCTTTTCCCCCCAGTCTCCAGAGATCCAGGACTGACGCCCATAAGCCATCTCCTGCCAGCGCCAGATAATCTCACCATCCTTCACCATCCAGATCACACGGCTGCTTCTCCCGAAAGGGAACATAACATGAGGCCCCCATAACCATGCCACCAGACTGCACCAGGCTTATTTCTCTTGGAGCGCCCTAGAGGGAGGCAGGTGAGAGCCCTCCCCACCAAGGGACCCAGCTCTGGCAGCAAAAAACCCCCACAACCCAACAACCACCACACTCAAGTCTGCTCCCCATGTGCTCGGGCTCAGCCTTACATATGAGTAAACATATTCCTGTACCATGCAGCCATGTGACATATCATAAAACATTCCCCACCCATTCTCCATAATTACCACACCATATTTTATGGGGTTAAGATAGTAGGCAACAAATAATAGAGGGAAACATATATACATGTATATAATGCATATATACATATTTTAAGATACACACACACACATATATCAAAGCTCACATCACCCAAACTTTAACAACATGTTAGTGATATCCTGCAGAATGTCTTAATGGCTCCTGCCAAAACAGAACAATCTACACACTGATTCCTATATAAACACTTTTTTGTAAGCATGTTCAGCAGTTCTCCATAGCAGACAATACGAAATAAATTATTTTGATTGTGTTTTGGGACAGGGATTGGGGTTTGGAATGGAAACATCCCAAATTTGATGATAAGGTGTAAAGGTGGTGTAATTGGTGTTTGAGTATTGAATGTAATAAAACATTGTGAACTAACTTATAAAATAAAAAAATTTAAAAAAGGTAATGTGGAGTTTATGCCTAATTCAGTCAACTTAATCAATCGCTGAATAAATAGCAGTGCTCCTACGTTATTAAAAAAAAGAAGAAAATAAATTCACCAGGTAGAAACACACAGACATGGGCTCAAACATACCCAGGATACTTTGAACATTGTTCAAGTGTTACCAAAAAAATCAAAGATATGAAAACCAATGATGGACTTTAAGCCTCAAATTCCACAAAAAATAGTAAGAAAATATTTACTACAACATAGAATCAAGTGACAAATTGTATGATGTGAATAATTGTTGATGCGGAAGTTCAGAGCAAAAGAACAAATATTGATGCAGAGCTCAGAGCAATGGGACAATACTCTGAAGTGATAATGTTCTGAAATAGATGTATAAAAGGAACATACAAATGCTAAAGTTTTCCACCTCTCCCCTAAATCACCGCATATATATCTCAAGGGTTTGATATGGTTATTTCATGACTATGCCCATTTTACAGATGACAGAAGTGAAGTCCAAAAAGTTTAAGTTTCATCTCTAAAAGAGGGTGTCCATGCTTTGTCTTGGACTATTCCCTGTAGACGGGTGAGCACAGGTCACATGAGCGGTAGCTTTCTCATCCTGACACAATGCGAATCAGCATAGGACTTGGGTTAACACAGTTAGTAACCTACTTTCCACGTGATTAGTTTCCCTAATATTAGGTTTTAGGGAGCCGTTCATATATTTTTTAAGTAGTAGGATTATAAAATTACTATGCCTACTCTTCAAAACAGATGATTGGTCCATCACAGAAAAAAGTAAGTCAAAAAATGTTTAGTAACACAAACAAGCTCAAAAACTCAGAACAGAACAAGCAACTAGAAAACTGGGCTCACTGGATTTTAGAACTAGCACTGACCTCAGCACCTTTGAATCCAGGGACAATCAAGAAAGTATGAGAAAAATCAAAGGACTCACTAGCATCAGAAACCAAGGTCTCTTTAATTTCATGCTCTTGCATGGAACATAGTCATTGTATAAAAAAAAAGGGAATTGTTCATTCTGTAGGAGCTGAATATCATAAATTATGTATTTTCACATTACTATGTCCTGGCTCGTTTGCTACCATTTTTTAACCAAATCCATGGGAGAATATACCTAGTATCTATCTATCTGTGTGTCTATATAGAAATGTGTTGATATATTTATAAAAACCTTATAGATGATGACCCTAATAATATGTTTTTACTCTCTTGTGCATCTTCCTATTATTGTTATTCAAGGAGTTTTTATCTATTGGTTTTACTATGCTTCTAAACAAATTAATATTATAATGAACTTCATTAGATTTTCTATGTGAGGTCGTACACTATATTCTCAATATAATTTCCTATATTATATTGTTATCAATTAAATGCTTTGGGAACTGTATTGCATCTATGCAGTTTTCCAGAAATGCACTCTGACAATATCTTGCTTGTTTCCTAAAAGCAATAAGAAAGTAGCCTATATGGAACATTTATATACTAGAGTTTCAGTGCTCCCGCAAATTGGCAGATTGAATCTCTTTCTCCATTCCCAAACACACACACCCCTGCACAACAGAATGCCTCCTTTCAGCTGTGTATTTTATAATAAATCTATTTTCAAAAGGGCTTTGTAAGCAGTACTGCATTTTTGGAAAAAGGAATGTTACAAGTCTAGAACTAACTTTCATCTAAAATTCTTTAAGTGATAAAAACTTGATTCTCATTTAACTTTTCAAGGTGGAGGGCTAATGTTAGACAAGGTACACACAGATTTTACTAGCAAATGATGAATTATGTTGCCTTTATATATATATATATATATATATATTTTGGAGCTGTAACTTCAATGGGCTCCATGTCCAGCTGATCTTTTAGCTCTAAAAGAAAAGTGACCATATAGTAATGATAGAAACAGTCATTGCCCAGGAACTGAATGCTGTCTGCCTCTTTGACGAATGGAGTAATGAGGATCCAATCAGAGACATCCCACCAAGACAATTTTCACCAAATTATCCAGACAGACATGGCTTGGATACCCAGGAGCAAATCCAAGAGCGACATTGCAATCTCAATAGTGTGTTTACACAAATATTGTGACATCAGTCCTCCTTCTGGAGTCATTAGACAGAAGAGGATATTAGACAGAAGGGGCCCCTAGAACGCTGGACTGCAGAAACAACAAGGAATCTGGGTTCGTCAGAATCAAGTGACTTAGCAGGTACGTGCTGTGGGTTGCAGAGCTTCAGCAGAAAACCTGGGAGTCTCTTGCGGTCGTGAGGGGAAAGTGAGATGAATGACACTCACAGTTGTGGCAGGTGGACCCGCTGTAGCCCGTCTCATCACAAGTGCATTTGAAGCTGTCCCATGTTTGTGAGCACTTCCCGCCATGCTCGCAGTGATTGGGCACACATCTGTCAGAGAAAGAGACAAACAGAAATAAACCAACAAACAAAGGAGATTCACGAGTGGCCAAATTCCAAGCTGCCTGTTCAATATATCATTTCTGTGCCAGGTTGCCTTCCCAAGGCAATTAATCCTTGTTAGTTTAAGCAGATTAATATGATTCATGATGGAAGGTGCCAAGCGCACAAAAGATGATATATCGCTGGCCTGGTGTTTCCCATTTTCAAGTCAACAGTGGAAATGAACAAACAGTTGAGAGATTCATTTGCATATCAGAGATTCGTTTTATTTTCCTTTTGCACAAAAACAAAGACACCAGCTAAATTTTCTCCTGGTGGGAAATGGAAGATAAGTCATCATCTTGTTTCCAGTTCTTTTTTTTTTTTTTGGTAAATGCCAATACCAAGTCAGGAAGGAGGACTGACCGAATTTCTCACGGCAATTTCTGTTGTAGACATAATGTCACCATAACAACAGCGTTAGAAGAAAAGATTCTTAAGTTTTCTTTATGCTTCCCTAAGCTTCCTTGCTAAGGAAGTCCGGTTTAAGGCGGAAACAAGGGAAGTATGGCGAGAAATACAAGTTTGTGTGAGCATCTTTACACATTTACTAAGATATAATTTAAGTTTTATAAAACTCAATCTATCATTTAGAAATGGTCCAATTAATCTGACTTTATAAGTATTTTTAAATTTGGAGATTATTTTCACAAACTAAATAACAAATAAGCAGAAGTTCAGCAAATGGGTGATCATTTCCAGGGCTAAATTTCGGAATTAAATGAGGCCCCCTAGCCACTGTGAAGTTAAGACTCATTCTGAAACATTCCTGTTTTAAGAGTTCAAACCTTTACTTTTCTCCCATTTTGGTCCTCTTCTCCCTCCCAAGTATTCTGTCTCCAACTTGCCCAAAACCTGATTGATTATAATCTTGATAAAGACGCTCACAGACAGCAAAGATATCGATTGTTCTCTATTAGCATTCACAAAAGATTTCTGGATTTTTAACAATAAACTCTAAAATAGACAGGTCTTCCAAATTAAACTAGCAGAATTGATCACAGTGAATTGCATATAATTGACTTAGTCACCCAATAGGGAAGGAATCCTTTAATCATGATGCCCTAGTCATTTCCTGCTACAAATCTGAGAGGGTCGGTCTTCTCTCTCCAGACCCATTTCAGGTGTATCGTCAGCCATGCATGGCAGAATTAGCATGGATTCCAACACCAGTGTGGAAATGCTGAGCTTCCACAACTCTGCAAACTTTCAGTCACACAGCAACTAAGTACGTGATAAGTGCACAGCACTGTGGAAAACAAGATAAGTGGAATCCTCCGCTGCCTCTCAAAAGTTGACAGTTTAGGAGACTAGATGTGTTACACTCATGGAAACTCTCACATATGATGCAAATAAAAAGTCTCTTAAGCAGAGCTTCCTTCAGAATGCTTTGAGTTCAGCAAACTGAGCTCTGCCAATGGTTACCTTGTGTATTCCCTATCCTGGCCAAGTAGTTCTAAAGAAGAAACGTTCTAATTTCTAAATATTGGAGCATTCTAATTTAATTTTTAAATTAGGGAATAAACTTAGAGAATATAATTTTAAGCTAGGATGTGAGGGGCTGGAGCAATAGCACAGCGGGAAGGGCATTTGCCTTGCATGCGGCTGACCCAGATTCGATTCCTCCGCCCCTCTCAGAGAGCCTGGCAAGCTATGGAGAGTATCTCGCCACACGGCAAAGCCTGGTAAACTACTCATGATGCATTCAATGTACCAAAAACAGTAACAACAAGTCTCACAATTTGTTGTGAGACGTTACTGGTGCCCGCTCAAGCAAATCAATGAACAACAGGAGGACAGTGCTACAGCGCTAGGATGAGAGTGATTCAAATGTCAATTTTTGGCTCCATGAAAAATCTCTTACATTGAGGCTCAATCAATGGGTAGAGTTCTGAGAAGAGTTTTACCAGAGAAAACTCAACATAAGCGAGAGGATGTTAGTTCGTCTTAAGCAGGGAAGAAAAACGTGCTCTACATTTAATAGACATCTTACTATATTTCATATTCACTTGAGTACTATGTTTTTAAGACAACAATCCCTGCAGATGAATGTGAGAGAACTGACTCAAGCAAGACACAATAGCAGGCAGAATTTTATGAGCTAAAAAGAGATATAAAAGGTCACAAGAACCGGTATTCTAGCGTAGGGAAGGGTCAAATAAATATAGAGGGTTTAATAAAGTAGAGAGTGTTTCACCTGGGCCTTGAAAGAGGCACTGCATTTTTATAATTAAAACATTGAATGCCTCTCCCAGCAGGGCAAGTGTGAAAAGCAAAGACAAGGAAGTAGAACTGTGAGCGTAGGTGGCCCAGCACCGTTGGGTTCATTGTCATGGTGGCCGCCTGACAGGCACTGAGCAATGCGCAGCTGCAGGAAGTTATACAGCAATCCAGATTCTCAGCTCATGGGAGGAAACCGTGGGGAAGCCTCTACAAATCGACATAAAACTAAAAAACAACCTTGAGGCTTAATTTTGGAATCCAATACATACCACGCCTAGGTAGAGTGTATTTGCTTTCTAAATTTTTGTGGGTGAAGAAAGCTTATTAGTGAAAGCAATTTATATTCACTTATTATATCAATTGATTCTAGGGAAGACAGTGCGAACGTATACTGCATCAGAATAGAAAATCAGGTTGGAATTGAAATGAGCCCAAAGCAGAAATTATATTCCTATGATAAACATTACCGTGTGTCCACACACAGAGATGTTAAGATACATGGAAATATCATGGAAGAGTAAACGAAGAACTTCCCAAATTCAATGGTAAGGATTTCTTTAATTTTATTTCAATGAAATTTTAATAGTTGTTTTCTTAAATGAACATTTTTGGGAATTTAATTCTTCATGCTAAAGAATTGTTTTTATTTCCCAAGCTAAATGTATTCTAATGAATTTCAAACCCTAATTTTCTGGTTTTGATTTGTGTTAGTGTTTGAACCACACCCACACATGATTAGGGCTTATTCCTGTGCTTTCTGCTCAGGTCTCTCCCTCTGCATGGTGTTGGCAATTAAACCAGGAGGAAACTCCTAAGGCAAGCACCTTCCCTGCTTTATTTTTATTTTTTTTGTCTTTATGGCTTTTGTTTATTTTTTTTAAATTTTTATTAGTGAGACACCATGAGGTACAGCTGTAGACTTACAAATTTTTGTGCTCGGGTTTCAATTATACAATGATCAAGTACCCATCCCTCCACCAGTGCCCATTTCCCACCACACACCTTCCCTGCTTTAAACCCAACTGTTTACCACTATATTTAAAAATATGTTAGAATGGGTTACCAGTCAAAATAAAATTAACCTAGCTTCCTTTTTTTTAAAGATCGTTTCATTGACAGACCGTGATTTACAATGGTATTAATATCTATTATTATTTAGACCCACAATGTTACACATTATACCTACCACCAAAAGAATATCCCTCCACCCACTGCCTCTGTTCCCATCTTGTTTATCCTCCATCCCTCTCCCATTTACACCCATGGGACTTGACAGACTTAGTTGAAAGACTGGCAGGGTTTGTTTACAATGGCCATGGCCTATTGTTTTGTTTTTCTCAGAAGCAGAGTTGGAAATAGAAAGGTTTACTGGAAAATAGAATGGAAAGAAGAGGAACTCCCTAGGCATTGGAGAAACTTAGTGGAGGTCTAAGTTCTATTCCTTTGTGTTGCTTCTTTATAGTCTATTATCAAAGAGATCACGCAGTGTTTGTGCTTCAAACTTAATGTGATGATCTCCAGTTCCACCCAAATGGTAGTGAAATTTTATCTTTCCTTATCAGCTTCTCCTTTATTACTTATCTCTTCTCCTATACTTCCATGGAAGAATGCATATATGTCCAATACTCTACAGTCACATATTTTTAAATAACGATTTTGTTTGAGTATATTTGTTTGATTTAATTTACTAATTTATTGAGTCAAACCTGGCAGTGCACAGAGGTATTTCCCTGATCTCCTGCTCAGGGGATCGTAAAGTGTCAGGGATGGAATCTACACCTCCCACAAATAAAGTACATGCTCCAATCCTTTGCACTTCTCCTACGGCCCTCACTTGTACACTGTGAGACTCTTGCTGTTTGAGATTTTTATCTTATATTTCTTTGATGGCAACTTACCTAGCCTCAGGATAAGTCTTGACTGGCTGAATGAATGTATTGCTAGAAAATTCTGTATACTCAGAGGAAATATCTTGTTACTGCAAGAAATGTGGATTATACTTGATCTCAGTCTTAAATCCAGATGCCATGCAATTATTTTAGTAGACTGTAGGGAGTGTGTCTTTTGCTTTATAGTAGGTCCTGTGTTGAAAATTCAACTTCTATCAAGAATGAATCAAAATGACATGATCGTTTCAACTTGAGAATGACTTGATCAGAATCTGGGATGCATAGGGGAGGTTGGCAGGTGTCAGTTTTCTGTGGTCCCAGGGCCCAGGAAGAAGTAATGCATCTAATTAGTGCTGTCTTTAAATAATCCTAGCCTCTGAGAATCTGGAGTTAAGGAATTCTTTTCTTAACAGCAATGATTTTCAAAATCCTTGAATATCAAAATGTATTTTGTTTTATTTGTACCAATACCAATTTGTACCGGGAGCGGATTGAGCTTTCCTCCCTGCCTCAACCAGGGCTCCAGCAGCCGAAGACCTCCAGGACCAGCCACCACCATGCTGAGACCACTCTCCGCACACATGAAGGTACCGGCAGAGGGACAAAGGCATGCGGGTCCTGGGGCTGAGATCTCCAAGCCTGCTCGGATCGGGGCTGAGCATCCTCCACCCAGATCCTCCAAATTCCAGTAGGCAGGGGTCACACCCACCAACTGGCCCCCTGGCACCATGTAATCCCATCAACGGCCAAGACTCAGAGACTATAAAAACCAGCTTCCAGAACTGCACAGCCGCACTCGCGGCCGCGCAACATCTTCTTATTATGACATCTTGTTAT